GGGGAGACCTTATCACCCTCTGCAACTCCCTGACAGGAGGTTGGAGTCAGGTGGGGGTTGGTCTCTTCTCCCAGTAGGACAAGAGGGCACAGACTCAAGCTCTGCCAGGGGAGGGTTAGGTTGGATATTAGGAAGAGATTTTTTAGGGAGAGAGTGCTCAGGCATTGGAATGTGCTGCCCAGGGAGGTGGTGGATTCACCATCCCTGGAGGTTTTCAGTCTGAGACTGGATGTGGCACTTGGTGCCATGGACTAGTGACCACGGTAGGGTTGGACTCGATGATCTTGGAGATCTTTTCCAACCTGGTTGATTCTGTGATTCTATGATTCTAATATAATGCTGAAGGACAATTGTTGTGTTCAGTTATTAACATCAATTATTAACCATCACATCAGGTGTTTCCAATTAAACATTTTTTAAGAAATCAAATAATTTGAAACTTACTAATTCTAGCTAACAATGTCTTTTCAGCTGTTGCTACACAGAGGCTTTACAAGGAAAACACCTCTTTATGGTTCTCAAGGTTTATTAGGAGGAATTCTAATTCCAACATGTAGTGGGAAGAAAAAAGGAAGGGGCAGTGACTCCCAGATCCCTCCGAGCTCGATTTGGCTGCTGACATGACTCAGAATACTCTATGTGTGAGTAAACAATGCACTGTAAAGCTCAAAAATATACTATGTGAACTATTAGTGTGTCTCAGAACCCTTAGGAGTTGAAACATTGATTTCTTTAAGCCTTTGTACCTGGCACTACTGTCTGTAAATGGAAAACTATTCAGGTCACTGATGCCTCTTTCGAGTGGAAAGGAATGTTCAACACCAAAGTATCAGGAATGAGAAGACAAAGGGAAGGTCAAGGCAGGACAGAGCATGTGCTCCACTCTGAATCAAACTGGTGCACAGGAAGAGCTGAAAGAAATGAGTTTTCAGAGAAGCTCCACTCTGATTTCATTGCTTTTTCTCCACAATACAAGTGTTTCCATATAGGACAGGGTTGGAATATGGTTTGGAAAAGAAATCAGAGCTCTCACTGTACTTTCCCCATCACTTTAAGAGAAAGCAATGCTTTAATGTTACTTTAGGTGTGAGTTCTTTTACAAGGCTAATCAGCAATATGAGTGTAAGCTGCTCACTCTGATCAGGCCATTGCCAGCAGCTTTAATCCCAGCTCCTGCTACATCTTGGAACTACAGAGAGCCTCAAAGTTCTCCCTCACTCAAAACTCCTTGGATTTCACCAGTAATAACCCAAAACTCTGATAATAATTAGCTGGATTAAAACATACCTAACTTAATTTGTTCTTAAAAACATGTTTGAGGAAAACACCTTGAATGCACCAGTCAAAATCCACACTTGGAAGGAAGAAAAGCAAAACCACTTGAGATTTAAATGTTTTAAGGTTTTCATGACCTTACAAGGTTCTAATTTATGAAGAGCAGTGAAAAAATGCAGATTTCAAAGAGAAAATATATATTTTTCTATATACAGAGAAGTCTTTCCCACAATTTGCCTTTTATGTAAGAAAAGAAAACCACTTGCAGTGTCTATTGCCACAAACAGTTCCCTCTGTGCATGTGCTATTCCAATGCATAATTCCATTGATTTTAAACACATTACTCACAGGATCATAGTTAAGCACATAGGACAGGGACCCTGAAGCAGGACATAATTCTGTTTCAAGACTCTAACAATATACCTGGTGAGGGATAATTAATTCTGGAGGTGCAATGATGAGACTGAAGTCCTTCCTAACTTGAATCTCACTCTGTGAGGCAGGGAGAAGACTCCTACCTCAGCTGCTCATTCTGCTGAGCTTTTAACACAGTCAGTCACGATGCACTACCAAACCTGAATCCATGAGAAGTCAGAACATTATGGGATCAACTGGTAACCTACAAGACAGCACACAGTCACTGGCTATGTCCCTGGCAGAAGAAGCAGTGTGTTGTTTCAGACCTGAGAGCCCTGAGACACGTGCTGTGCTGGTGTGCTGCATGCCTGGACACTCAGGGGCTCAGCAGGGACTCGGGGTAACACCAGCTGCTTCTGAGGAGCACCACCATGGAGACCCCTGGAGCAGAAAGAAACAATGAGGGTTTTAGAATCACTTTGATTTTACCTATTAAACCCACACTGCTTTCATCTGGGGGAATCCAAGGGACCCTGTTTTTATTTATATCTGCATTCAGCACAGATTAAATTACAGGAGTTAGTAGAATATTTCTGTGGCTATAGAATTACATTTACTTTTATATTGGTTTTTATCTCAAACGAAAGGCAAAACAATCTCATCTGGGCCAACACTCCCATTGGCTTCACAAAATTCTGTGAGCACAGTCTTTGTGTCTTGCTGCAATAAAACAGCTGTTTCACTTACCATTTTGGGGGCTCTTTGGAATTTACTTCTTTATTGCCAGCAGAAGAAATAGTTAACACTTGTCTGTTTATAGCATTGAAATAATTTTCAGCATGTTTCTGTTAGAGGGAAAAAATAATGTTTAGACTATGGCAAAGGCAAAAGGGATATTAAAATTATTGAGCTCAGTTGATTTAGCAATTCAGATCTTCACCTGACTGAAAAGTTGATGGGGTAAAAGTTTGATTGTGGCTCATTGGGCACAAGATCAGTTAGCTGTGATGACCCAGAAAAGGAAGGCAATGCTCTAAATTGGAATGTCTGAGGAATCTCATCATTTGCTGAGAGAGAAGGGATCTTGCAGGATCACAAATACCCCAAGTGAGTTACTGACAGATACCTCAAAAACTGAACCATCTTCTGGCTCTGCTCTGTTTTACTTACTCTCAGCCCAAGTTCAGCTCTTCCAGTTGCTCTCCTGAGGTCACCAATATCCACAGCTTCTACATTTCCTTTCAGGTTCATATTTTCCATTTTAATCTTATGAAGCTCTTCTTGAACCTAAAAAGCAAGTTAGGACAAAACTCTAACCACATGGGACGAGGTAGTAGGATTTAACCCAAATTAAATGCTTCCTAAGTAATAAATACATGTGACTTCCTCTACTTCTTTATATATACACATTTCTTTTATAAACAAAAGAATACAAAGCAAGAATAAAGAGAATAAAAGAATGCAAAGAGAATAAAAGAATACAACATGAAAAAAAGAATACAAAGAGAAAAAAGAATACAAAGAAAAAAGGTAGTAGGATTTAACCCAAATTAAATGCTTCCTAAGTAATAAATACATGTGACTTCCTCTACTTCTTTATATATACACATTTCTTTTATAAACAAAAGAATACAAAGCAAGAATAAAGAGAATAAAAGAATGCAAAGAGAATAAAAGAATACAACATGAAAAAAAGAATACAAAGAGAAAAAAGAATACAAAGAAAAAAGAATACAAAGAGAATAAGAGAATACAAAGAGAATAAGAGAATACAAAGAGAATAAGAGAATACAAGAAAATATTGCAGAAACCCTGGAAAAACTCAATTTAAAAACAAACCTCATAAAGCAATAGCAACGAAGTTCAGGACTGAGGTTCTCTACCAGGGAATGCTGTGTCCTTACACACTTCACACATCTGGTGGCACAGGAGGCTGAACCGTGCAGGGACCTCTGCAGTGCCGATGCAGCCTGTGAGGAGATCACAGAATCATGGAATGAAGGGGTTGGAATGGAGCTGATTGATCATCTAGCCCCAACCCTTCCACGGGCAGGAAAACCTCCCATAACCCACACTGCTCACTGCTATAGCCAACCTGAGCACGTCACCACACGTCCAAAAGGTGTGTTTACATCAGCTAAGCCCACGGTCTGGTTACACCAAAACCCGCAGCACTCACGGCCCAGGCGCTGACACCACACACACACCCTCCCCTCGGGCAGGGCC